TGTTTTTGGGGAGGGTTTTGTTTATTTTTTTATTAGACACTGGCCAGGTGTGGCGGCACATGCCTGCAATCCTAGCACTTGTGAGACTGAGGAAGGAGGACTGCCTGCATTTGCGGCCAACCGTGGCTACACAGGGAGTTCGAGGCCAGGCTGGTTAAGAAATGGTGCAAGGCAGAGAGCAGCTGAGACCATTGGGCTTGTGGAAAGCCAATATGGCATGGAATTTATTGTGCATGAGAGCAACCAGACAGATAGTGAAAGGACTACCTGTAGGGAGCAAAGCAAAACAGGCTTGTTGTATAGGGCTTGAACGCAGGCAGTGGGCACTAGGCAGGAAGATCTTTTTCCTACTTGTAAGCCTCAGTGGCCAAAGGTCTCTGGATGTTTCATGCCATGGTGGGCATAACCCTTGCACCATGCAATGTGAAAGGTTGGGGTATCTTAAATGCCGAGGTGTCTGCAAGATTCTATGTTCCATCTTACCTCTAATAAAGTATCCTATGTTTGCTGAGGACATTGAGGTTGAACTGAGTACAATGTCACTGCTGCAGGTTGGGTATTGGGAGGGTCATGTCCACATCGCACCTCATAGGTTGAACTACACAGCAAGAAAATAATAATAAAGGGGCTGGAGAGATGGCTCAGTGGTCTAAAGCACCTACTTGAAACAAGCTTGGCAAAGCACAGGGACCGCGGTTCAATCCCCAGCACCACATGCCAGCCAGCCCCGCCCCCTGGTGGGCTGAGCTGGCCACACACACACACAATAAATAAATGTAATAAATAAAAATAAATAAATAAATAAAAAAGAAAATAATAATAAAAAGAAATAAAAAAGAAAATAATAATAAAAAGAAATAAAAAAGAAAATAATAATAGATGCAGTATCTGCAACAGGCAGATTAAAGCTAAAAAACACACACAAGAAATCAAAGTTTAAAATTGTCCTTTGAGTATCAGCCCCATAAAAATTGTAGAGTAACAGATATATAAGGAAAATGATGAGGAAAATGAATCAAATTTTGAAGACTACCAGAAGAGACAAGAGATAATAGTCTTCCATGCCCAGAAAAACTCAAAAGGAAAATCTTTGACATTTCAATAGTTTTTACCAAGAGGACACATTTTAAATGTTAGTGTTCATTTTGCAAAAGAAAACCTTCACAAGTTTTTACCAGCAGAAATTTATAATTTTTTTTCTTTTTTGGTATAAAATCTTAGTAGAGCTAGGAACATTGCTCAGTGGCACAGTGTTTGCCTGGCAAGCACAAGGTCATAAATTCAATTTCTAGTACAAAAAAAAAAAAATCTTAGTTAAAATTTTCTCTTGTGTCCAGTGAGGTTCATGTGTTCACGTCCACTTGTTTGCTGCTGACTAGATTTTTTTAAAAGCCATTTGTTTTGGTAAAAAGAAAAAGAGATTAATTAAAAGCAAGCTCTGAGGAGATGGAGGGGGCCATTTGCCTCACATCATCACCCCACCTAGAACAAGTGCTGGAGTCTCCCACAGCAAAGAACACTGGGGAAGGGAATATAATGCAGCAATGCACAAATTCTAGCTGAACCCTTCCTTCCTGGACCTGGACCTCTCCCTCCCACCTAAAGGAATGAAACTGGACTTGACTTCCTGGTGCTACTAGAACCTGCATATTCACCTGGGCTAAGAAGAAGTGGGCATAGCCATTTATATCCAAGGCCTGAGGAAGCTTGGCAGAGCCACTACCTGTAAAGGGGGAAAAAAAAAAACAAAAAAAACTTTTAAAGTTCCATTTTATGGTACCAGTTACAGATAATTAAAAGATGCAAGAATTAGTCCCAAAGAAGATAGGGATAGTATTATAAATCGTGAAATGTACTGTTTTGTGATTTATATAAATTTCCACCAACATATACAAATATATGTAAATTTTTCTATTTCTTCAACTTTTGCTTCATGTGAACGAAGCTTTTTTTATTCTTTGGTCACTTGTGAGTGAAGACAGAGTGACAATGTACTGCATATGGACATGTATGTGTAGGACTGCCATGACAAAGTATCACAGAACACGAGGCTTAAAACATCAGAAACGCACTGTCATATAACTCTGCAGGTTAGAAGAAATAAGTGGAAGCCAGTTGTGGCTGAGCACACCTGTAATCCCAGTACTCTTAGAGGCTGAGGCAGGAGGATCCTCTCAAGTTCAAGGACACAGTGAGCTCAAGGAGAGCCTGAACTATATCCATTGTGAGACACTGTCTCAAAAAATAGTAATTCAGTGTGAAACTACTGTGGGCCATGCTCTCTTGAAGAGGTAGGGAACAATTTTAGTTTCAAGTGTATCCCAGTAATTCTTGGTGTTCCTGCATGGCCTACGAACTGCTTAACAGCAACTCTGCTTCAACAGTCACAAAGTAAAGTAGTCACTCACTATTTCACGGCAGGACTTTCATGGACTCACTGTCTCACAGATTTTCAAAAAACATTAATCTAAATTATTTATCGTGCATTTTTCGCTATATCATAGGATTTTGTAGTACCATATAGTATACATATGTTGTTAAAAGAACATTTAAGAGTTTAGAAAATGTCTAAGGAGCCGGCCTGATACCTCTACCGACTAAAGTGCCTGCTTAAGCAGAGCACAGCGGGTTTGATCCCCAGTTTGGCGTGCCGGCCCCTCCCATGGGGCGGGCAGAGACAGCAATTGAGTTGGGGCGTGGTGTCCAGTGCTGTAATCCCAGCTCTTTGGAGGCTGAAAACAAGAGAATCACTACAAGTCCGACCCAGTAGTGAGACCCTGTAGACACTATAGACCCTTTCCTAAATACAGGAGAAAAAAAAAGAAAAAGAAAATGGCTGAGAACATTGGAAGTGTTTTTAAAAGTATGCTTTAAAAAATACTATATATT